AGCAAGGTTAGTGTTCTCTCTCTTCATACTGTACTGTGCTGTACTTTGTGTCATATTTTTGTGGTTTAAAAAAAAAACATATGGTTCAGAACAGATTAACCGTATTTACATTGAACCTTATGGGAACATTCGATTCAGTTGGCGACCAAAATCGGTTGGCGACCACATTCATAGGGGTCAGAACGGATTAACCGTATTTACATTGAACCTTATGGGAACATTCGATTCAGTTGGCGACCAAAATCGGTTGGCGACCACATTCATAGGGGTCAGAACGGATTAACCGTATTTACATTGAACCTTATGGGAACATTCGATTCAGTTGGCGACCAAAATCGGTTGGCGACCACATTCATAGGGGTCAGAACGGATTAACCGTATTTACATTGAACCTTATGGGAACATTCGATTCAGTTGGCGACCAAAATCGGTTGGCGACCACATTCATAGGGGTCAGAACGGATTAACCGTATTTACATTGAACCTTATGGGAACATTCGATTCAGTTGGCGACCAAAATCGGTTGGCGACCACATTCATAGGGGTCAGAACGGATTAACCGTATTTACATTGAACCTTATGGGAAAATTTGATTTGGTTCACGACCAATTCGGTTCGCGACCAGAGTCGTGAAACGAATTAAGTTCGTGAACCGAGGTACCACTGTATAACTCTCCTCTTTCTATATACAGAAAGGGCTGAGCCCACAGAACGATGGACCATTTTTCTTTCCACTGGACGTCCCTGGCTGAGAGGTGAAGCTCCGCTGCTTACCTAGAGAGTTGGGGACCACTTCCCATGACACTGTGTGCCTTCCATCCACAGGCAGACAATACGAAGCTTCTTCCTTTTCCACAGGAGCAGCAGCATAGTCAGGCGAAAGCAGCAGTGATATACTGACCTGTTAACGGCCAGAAAGGAGTTAATTGGAGGAGATCACCAACGCCTCCCAGACTCACAAAACAAAGAGGGGGAGGAGGTTAACACAACACGGAGGAAATGTCAGATGGGCCTCGAGCAGATGTGGGGAATCTGGGCCCTTCCCAAATCTTGCTACAATTATCAGCAACACCGGATAGCCGTTAATACCGAGGGAGGCTGGGCACTGTCGTGCAACAACAGCTGGAAGCCCAAACGTTCCCTATCCTTAGCTTAAACAGTTATAGGAGCATGTGAATATATAGTGGGTCTGCCCACAGGACCACGCAGTTAGAGTTAAAGAGGGAGTTGGTGTGTTGTACAACAGGAAAACTAGGTCAGCCGGGCAATTAACCATAGCCATGGGTCAATTGGGGTTTACGTTTTCCCATAGTTAACCATGGTTTCTGAATGACAGATGTCAGGGAAAAAACCATGTCAAACACGGGAGGCAGACACACCAGAACATAAGTCACTTCAAAGTTCTAAAAGCTTTATTAAATGTTAGTTCAAAAAGCAAGTAAAATTCAACCAATAGCATACAAGGGACTTTCTTAGATTCACATTGCAATGTGGACCAACAAGAACAAGCTGTCAGGCAGACAGCTTGACCAAGTGGTCCCGTCCCCTTAGTTGCAATCCCTTTTATCCTCAAAAACCGCAAACCACAATCATGACTCCCAGGATTTGCAACTGAATCATAACTTCCTTGGTGCTAATTTTACCATACTTTACCATACATCACCAGACTTCCCTGTTCCATTTGCCCTTGTCACATCTTTTCCCATCAGTAGTTTGCTTAGTCTTGCAAGTTTACTTATTTCCTGTTATTGCCCTAGAGGCCATATCAAAGCGAGCTTGGGTTG